ATGTTGTATATTTAAATCCATGATCAATTTTGAATTATTTTTTATATTTGTGTGAGGTTTAAGGTGACTTATTTTTTGGCCTATTATTCCAACACCATTCACTGAAGGCTATCCTTCCTCCACTGAGCTGCTTGTGCACCTCTGTCAAAATCAGCTGGGAGTATCTGTGCTCGTCTCTGTCCGGGTTCTCTCTTCTACCTGGTTATCTATGATTTTTTTCCTCCACAAGTACACAATATCTTACTTAACGTAGCAATATACTAAGTCTTAATATTAGGTAGTTATTCTGCCTACTTTATTTTCCTTTTCCAAAACCATTTTAGCTACTCTAGTTTCACTGCATTTCCACATAAACTTTGGAGCAAGATTGTTTATATCTTAACAAAAAAATCTTTACTCCTCTAGATAAAAAACCTATATGAGCTGTCATAAATGTTGAAAATTAGATGTTATTAATGAAGTAGCTAGGTATAGCTGTTTAGGGACAAGCCAGTAGCCTGAGGCCTGAATGCAGCTGCACACAGAAGAGCAGAGCTGGAGATGCTGAGGGAAGTTAGCCCAACACTAATACTTTCACCTGGACTGGAAGGAAAAAAAAAAACAAAACAACCCAAAAAACCTTGCTGGGATTTTGAGAGGGACTGCAACAAACCTGCAGATCAATTTGGGGAGAACAGACATCTTTAATCCGGAGAGATTTCACATCCATTAGGCCCTCTACCAACCAGTGCTCTAAGAATACTGTCTTTCTTCCCTCCTCAACCCCACTGCATCCTTTCCCCACCTCCTGTGAAAGGGGAGATGCTACTAGGGTAGTTCTCACAGTAACAGCCCCGTAAGTGCTCATCTCTACAGCACCATTCTCCCACATCTCAACACAATGACAAGGAAATGGTCTGTGTGCCAGCACTTTAATAAGTAGCCTCTTTTCATCTTTACAGGAAGACCACTGTTTTTTAGAAAAAGTTCCAAGATGCTGTAATCTCAATGATAAATCATTTGGAATCTAAATTTAAAAAGTTTGTGGAGGAGCAAGCACAGTAAATAAGTCTTCTGGCACCTCGTTTAATGCTTTCTTCACTATTTAATGTTACTATAAAACATTTTTACTTCATTGGGTCAGTCTGTACATCAATTTTACAGGTAGCCAGAGTCAATCTCTTTAATTCTTATTTCCATGTCCCCATTCATATCTCTTTCATCTTATATCCATTAACTTCTTTGAAAACAGGTAAAATAAATTTAAGTGGATGTCTGGAAATTTCAAAGGAAGTTGCAAATGTTCTTGACTAAAATATGACAACGTGCTGAACACTTGGAAACTGAGCACATTATTGATGATGCCTATCATTTGCTACTTTCCACTGCTCATTTCTCTCTCGATAAAACCATGCGTAAGTGAAGACAACATTTTCGTATGAAAATATTTGTTCTATTAGAAGACCAATAATGTATTTTAAGTCTGGAAATAAATTTTTTTTAAAAGAACACAAAGAGAAAAATGTATTTCCTTCCCTGAAGGCATCCAGTCTCTAGAATTCCCTTTTTGTGTTCTCTAATTCCATATACTTGGAAGTTCAAAATCATAAAACATTCTGAAATTTGGCAAAACATGAAAACTCTGATGTGCAGTTTACTGTAAAACCAACTAACTTAACACACTGTTTGAATCAAACACTTCATTCCCTAAAGTTACTGGTAGCTTGATGGCTACCAAGATATCAAGTCTACAACATGGTACTCAAGTGTTCCCACAAGAGGGATTGAAATCGCTCTTCCTCAACTCAACATGAGCTCTCTTCTCCAGCCGAACCACCTACCAACCCTCCTCCAGACCCACCCTTTGCCCGCCTATGACCTCTCCCGCCATCCCTTGTCTCTAGAACGCCTTCTGATCTGCCTACAAAAAGCTTCCTCATTCTGCAAAGTCCCACCACAAAAGCATTCTCTTATGAGCAATATTGATGTTATGTCAAGAGCATAAATTCTGGCATCAGCCTCAGATTTTAATCTAGGTTATGCTAATTTTGGACTCATGTCTCTGAAGCTGGGTTTCTTCATCTATAGAATGGAGCCATACCCATTTTAGATGACACCCAAAATACAGAATTATTGTTAGAATTAGAAAAATATAGGTAAAGTCTGTAACAGTTAAGAGTTAACTGCTGGAAAAAACCATTAGAATTAAGCTTATTACTTGTTTCTCTGAGTTCATTGTAATTTGCTTGTATAATTCTAATAGCAGTTCACAATCTGGGCTCACTCTATCTCTTATACTTTTGCCCTAAATGATTATTTAACTTCTACTACTTTAGTTTTCACTTATGTCTTGTGTTTTGTGTCCCCAAACAGGCTGGAAGCTTCTTACAAGGCAGGACTCTCTGTTATCCTTACTTAAATTTTTATGTAATTTAGCACAGTGATATTTATAAAAGAAGACTCAACAAATATTTCCTCAGTAAAGCATGTGCTGAAATACATAGTATATCCAGAAAATGGGAATCACATTTTTAGAAGTGCATTGATATACCAGAGTGTGTCCATTGAGAAGTAAAGGGAGAGGCAAGGAGGGAGGGCAGGGAGGCATGGAACTGGGCACAAGGTGAGGGTCCATATGCGTATGAGATAGTGGGAGAGAGAATGCGTACATCAATTTTGATAACAGAATAACTACAGATACACTGATGTTTAACCTAAAGGAAAGATGATTTCAGAAGGCATGATAGCTTTAAGATAAATCAGACTATTATACGTGGTTCTGAAGGCAAAACTAGGACCAATGGTAAGGCAAAAAAGAAATTCAGCTTAACATAAAGTAAAATTCTACGACATGAAGAGCTGTCCAACAACGGAATAAATAGGACTCATTTAACATGATGTACCTTGTAAAATTATAGGTATAGAGTCCTAATAGAGCTCAGGGTTGAAATGGCTTTCCAATGCCAACGTCAGAAAGATAGCTATCATCTAAAATGCTGTGTTAAGAAGAATTTTAAGACTCCACATATAGTCGGTAGGAAAGGGTCCTGTGATCAGTTAAGAATATTTGTCACAGCCTGGCAGAAATACCTCATATTTACTATCTCCAATCTAGACAAATTATTTTCCAAAGTAATCATTCCCCACTGAGAATTTAGATATGAATTGGGGAAAATTTCACTGAACTCTTTGAGTCTCAGACTAACATTCTTTAAATGTTCAATAAAATGATGTTTTTAAAGTATTTTTAACTGACAGTCCTCAGCTAGGATCTTGGGTTACTGTAACAAAAGCACTTTAGTTTCTCATTCTGTAATTCACTTGTAAGACCACAATACCATCTTAAAAAATGCATTGTTTTATAATTTTCATAGTATATTCATGTTTTTATTTCCAAAAAAAACTTTGTGACTACCAGATATCAACAGAGAAAAGCATATGATTAGGCAAGAACCAAAGTGAGACCTCAAAATTTTTAATGAAAATATTCTTCCTTTAATAATGTCCTAGAAGTTCATTACTAAGTAAATCAATCAGCAGAAAATACCCACATCTTAAAAAAAAAAAAAAAAGCAACACTAAAACAGAAACTTTCTCCTCCACACACACTCCTGTCCTTCACAGAGATTATGTGCATCACCCACCACTTAAAAGTAACACTCACTGCTGTGTTACTGAGCAGAAGGACTCGAAGTGTGGTTGCTGGACCAGCAGCAGCACCTGGGAACCTGCCAGAAATGCCAATTCCCAGCCCCACCCACCCTATGGATTCAGAAGTCCTGGTGCTGACCCAACAAAGTGGGTCACAGCAAACCCTCTGCCTCATTCTGACACATGCTGACGTCTCAGAGAATGGTTCCTTCCCTCTCCAACATGGCAGGTCCTTCACCTGCTTCTCCCTAGTGCTTCACTTTTTCTCAGTTTTCACAACCAAAAGATTTCCTCATTTGAATGATTAAGTGATGGTTTCCGACTTTCTTTCCTTTTAAAATATGAGACTGCCTTTTAAATTATCCATTTAAAAAATTTTTTATTACACATAAATTATCATGAGCTGTTTACACAGAAAGAGATTTTTAGCTTGTGTTAACAGGTATAAGAATAATCTGGTATGTGGAGAAAGGAGAACCCTCATGCACTGTTGGTAGGAATGCAAACTGGTGTAGCCACTCTGGAAAACAGTATGGAGGGTCCTCAAAAAGTTAAAAATACAAGTGCCCTACGATCCAGCAATCACACTACTAAGTATTTACCCGAAGAGTACAAAAATACTAATTCAAAGGGATACATGCACCCCAATGTTTATAGCAGTATTATCTACAATAGCCAAACCATGGAAATAGCCTAAGGGTCCACTGATAGGTGAATGGATAAAGAAGATGCAGTATATATATACAATGGAATATTACTCAGCCATAAAAGAGAACGAAATCTTAACATTTGCAATGATATGAAGGGAGCTAGAGTATTATGATTAGCGAAATAAGTCAGTCAGAGAAGGGCAAATACCATGATTTCACTCACATGTGGAATTTAAGAAACAAAACAAATGAGCAAAGGGAAAAAAAGAGATAAATCAAGAAACAAACTCTAGAGAACACACTGATGGTTACCAGAGGGGAGGTGGGTGGGGGATGGGGGAAACAGGTGATGGAGATTAAGGAGTGCACTGGTTGTGATGAGCACCAGGTGATATATGGAAGTGCTGAATCACTATATTGTACACCTGAAACTAATTATTATACTGTATGTTAACTGGAATTTAAATAAAAACTTTAAAAAAAAGGATAATCCTGTATAAAAAACTATTTTGTAAATAGGCTCACTTTTTTCTCTTCATTCCATCTTAAATTGTATACAATCAAACACACATTTGTGGGGATGACTTTAAATAAATCACTGTACCTGTCAAATAGTTCACAAAGAAAAAATTACCCCATGGCCATCAAAAGTATCACTTTCCTATGAAAACATCTCCACTGACATTCATACAACCCATTCTTGAGTGGTGTCTTACTTACCTGTGCACATAGTGCAGCTGATGAACAGAATCGATTGCTATTACCATCTCGGCCAAGTAAAATCGAGCCATATCTTCAGGCAATCTATCTTCAAATTTGCTGAGCAGAGTAAGCAAATCCCCACCAACATAATAATCCATGACCAGGTACTGGGAATGAAAAAAAAAAGGACTCAATAAATAATAAGGGTGAAAAATTAACATATGTAACATAACCCAAGGTCGAACAGCACTGGGTCAAATAATTTTGTTGTTAATTACAAAAAGCTGCATAAGACAATCCTTACAAGGCTTGTAAATTTCAGGAAGCAGTAAAATAAAATTTTAAAAACCCGAAGCAGGGAACAACAGCATTATTCTTGTTTTGTTGTTGTGTTTTGCAAAGTAACAACATCACCATCATCACCTATAACAATACACCACAGTTTTACCAACATTTCATAGAGGAAACAATGTATTAATTCTCCAGAAATGATTAAAATAACTCAGACTATAAGACAGTCCTTTATTATGTTGAGCAAATTCATTTTCATCATTGTTACATTTTCCTTATTTCCTGTTGGACTGGTAACAACTTTATCAAATCAGCACTTGGATCAGCATTTAGAAAGCACTAGTATATTGAATATAATAATTTCCATCATATACATACTTCTCTTTTCACTCCTGATAGTGCAGAAATATCAGAATGGACTTTTCTTAGGTATGTATAAATAGAAGTCAACTAATTTTAGATATGGACTCTCATAGGTATATGTGTAGGATATTGTGATTTATAATAAATAAATATATATACATATACATATATACACACACACATATATATTTTGGCAGAGCTCCTAAAAACCCTTAAAATCTCCTAAGTGGGAGTGCCTGGGTGGCTCAGTCGGTTAAGCTCAGGTCATATGGGCTCAGGTCATGATCCCAGGGTCCTGGTGAGTAAGGAAAGTGTACAGGTGTAGGCAGGAAGAGATAGGGGGCCCCTGACCAGGCTCTGAAAGACTGAACAAGAGATAAGGGAACAGACCAGACCACCTGGCCCCGGATGTTATGGTGGCTACAGGGAATCACAGAAAATGAACAAACCTCAAAGAAGTAAGTCATTTAAGGGTGCTATCAATTGTCCTTGCTCAGACCAAGACTGCACAAGAATCTCAAGGCCACAAGCTCCCTGTTCAAGTTTTCAATAAAAGCCCTCAGTGGCAACCCATTTGGGACCCCTCTCACTCTAGAGAGATTTCTTTCCTTTCTGTTCTCACCTTCACTTAATAAACTTTCAGTGCACTTCACCCTTTTGTGTCCGGGAGATTCATTCTTTGACTCCGTGAAACAAGAACCCTGCAATCCTGTAACACTGGGATGGAGCAGGGTCAGGCTCCCCGCTCAGCATGGAGTCAATGCTTCTCCCTCCCCCTCTGTCCCTCTCCCTGCTCAAGTTCTCCATCTCTCTCTCTTAAATAAATTAATTACTTTAAAAAATTATCTCCTAAGGGATAAGATAAAGGTGGCTTTTGTTATGTATAACAAACCCCTTTTCAACCACACTAGTGTTTATGTTAATGAGGTGGCTTTTGGAAAGCCCTTAGGTAACCTAAGGATGGGGGCTGGTTGCCAAGGGAACCAACCAAGATTAGAAGGTTGGAAATTTCTAGAGTAGGGCCGGAGGCTGAATCCATCATCAATGGCCAATGACTTGATCACTCAAGCCTATCTAATGAAGCCTTCATAAAAACCCAGAAGGATGGGGTTTGGCGAGCTTCCCGCTGGGCAAACACGGGGAGTGGTGATGGAAGAGTGGGGCACTTCTGCGGAGGGCGCGCAAGCTCCGCGCCTCTCCATCACATCTTGCCCTGTGCACCTCCATCCTGCAGCTGGTCCTCAGTCACGGGAGCAGCTTTGACAAACTAACCATATCTGAGGAGTGTGTCGTGGGAATCTCCGATCTATTTTCTGTGAGTCAGAAGCACAATAACCTGAACTTGTAACTGGACTGAGGAGGGAGTTTTGTAAGACTTTGAACCCTTAGCCTCTGGGATCTGAGTTGTCTCCAGGTAGACAGCGTCGGAATGGAGTTAAACTGCAGGGTGCTTGGCTGGCACTGCAGGACCGCCGGATGAGTGGAAAACCCACACAGTTAATGTCAGCAGTGAAGTAGTATTGAAAGAGTACAGTATGTGACGTAAATGAAAACACTGGAGATTTCCTTTACCATGTGTGTTTGCCAAAAAAGACAAAGAGTAGATGCTAAAATGTTCACAGGGATTAGCCCTGGGTTGTTAGATTACCCATGATGTCACAGCTTTTCAGTATTTTCTAAATTGCTTTCTAAATATGTATCACATATGCATGTACATATTATATTATATTTTTTAAATTTTATTTTATAATGTTATGTTAATCATACATTATATCATTAGTTTTTGATGTAGTGTTCCATGATTGTTTGCATAAAACACCCAGTGCTACATTCAATATGTGCCCTATTCAAAAAGAATCAACAGGCTAACCTATCCCACACTGCCCTTCCCTCTAGAACCCTCAGTTTGTTTCTCAGAGTTCATAGTCTCTCATGGTTCGTCTCCCCCTCCGATGTCCCCCCCTTCATTTTTCCCTTCCTACTATCTTTTTTTTTTTTTAACATATAATGTATTATTTGTTTCAGAGGTACAGGCCTGTGATTCATCAGTCTTACACAATTCACAGCGCTCACCATAGCACATACTCTCCCCAATGTCTATCACCCAGCCACCCCATCACTCCCACCCCCCACCACTCCAGCAACCCTCAGATTGTTTCCTGAGATTAAGAATTCCTCACATCAGTGAGATCATATGATACATGTCTTTCTCTGATTGACTTATTCCGCTCAGCATAACACCCTCTAGTTCCATCCACGTCACTGCAAATGGCAAGATCTCATTCCTTTTGATGGCTGCATAATATTCCATTGTATATACATACCACTTCTTCTTTTCCATTCATCTGTTGATGGACATCTTGGCTTTTTCCACAGTTTGCCTATTGTGGACATTGCTGCTATAAACATCAGGGTGCACGTACCCCTTCGGATCCCTACATTTGTATCTTTGGGGTAAATACCCAGTAGCGCAATTGCTGGGTCATACGGTAGCACTATTTTCACCATTTTGAGGAACTGTCATACTGCTTTCCAGAGTGGCTGCACCAGATTGCATTCCCAACAACAGTGTAGGAGGGATCCCCTTTCTCCACATCCTGGCCAGTATCTGTCATTTCCTGACTTGTTAATTTTAGCCATTCTGACTGGTGTGAGGTGGTATCTCAATGAGGTTTTGATTTGGATTTCCCTAATGCCGGGCGATGTTGAACACTTTTTCATGTGTCTGTTGGCCATTTGGAGGTCTTCTTTGGAAAAAGGTCAGTTCATGTCTTCTACCCATTTCTTGATTGGATTATTTGTTCTTTGGGGGTTGAGTTTGATAAGTTCTTTATAGATTTTGGATATTAGCCCTTTATCTGATATGTCATTTGCAAATATCTTCTCCCATTCTGTCAGTTGTCTTTTTGTTTTGCTGTTTCCTTTGCTGTGCAAAAGCTTTTTATGTTGATGAAGTCCCAATAGTTCATTTTTGCCCTTGCTTCCCTTGCCTTTGGCGATGTTTCTAGGAAGAAGTTGCTGCGGTTGAGGTCAAAGAGGTTGCTGCCTATGTTCTCCTTTAGGATGTTGATGGACTCCTGTCTCACATTTAGATCTTTCAAACATTTTGAGTTTATTTTTGTGTGTGGTGTAAGGAAATGGTCCAGTTTCATTCTTCTGCATGTGGCTGCCCAATTTTCCCAACGCCATTTGTTGAAGAGACTGTCTTTTTTCCATTGGACATCCTTTCCTGCTTTGCCAAAGATGAATTGACCATAGAGTTGAGGGTCCATTTCTGGGCTCTCTATTCTGTTCCACTGATCTATGTGTCTGTTTTTGTGCCAGTACCATACTGTCTTGATGATGACAGCTTTGTAATAGAGCTAGAAGTCTGGAATTGTGATGCCGCCAGCTTTGCTTTTCTTTTTCAACATTCCGATGGCTATTCGAGGTCTTTTCTGGTTCCATACAAATTTTAGGATTATTTGTTCCATTTCTTTGAAAAAACTGGAAGGTATTTTGATGGAGACTGCATTGAATGTGTAGATTGCTCTATGTAGCATTGACATCTTCACAATATTTGTTCTTCCAATCCATGAGCATGGAACGTTTTTCCATTTCTTTGTGTCTTCCTCAATTTCTTTTATGAGTATTTTATAGTTTTCTGAGGACAGATCCTTTGCCTCTTTGGTTAGATTTATTCCTAGGTATCTTATGGTTTTGGGTGCAATTGTAAATGGGATCGATTCCTTAATTTCTTTTTCTTCTGTCTTGTTGTTGGTGTATATCAATGCAACTGATTTCTGTGCATTGATTTTATATCCTGCCACTTTACTGAATTCCTGTATGAGTTCTAGCAGTTTTGGGGTGGAGTCTTTTGGGTTTTCCGCATAAAGTATCATATCATCTGCAAAGAGTGAGAGTTTGACTTCTTCTTTGCCAATTCGGATGCCTTTGATTTCTTTTTGTTGTCTGATTGCTGTGGCTAGGACTTCTAGTAGTATGTTGAATAGCAGTGGTGATAATGGATGTTGCTGCCGTGTTCCTGACCTTAGGGGGAAAGCTCTCAGTTTTTCCCCATTAAGATTGATATTCGCTATGGGTTTTTCATAGATGGCTTTTATGATATTGAGGTATGTACCCTCTATCCCTATACTCTGAAGAATTTTCATCAAGAAAGGATGCTGTAACTTTCTCAAATGCTTTTTCTGCATCTATTGAGAAGATCATATGGTTCTTGTTCTTTCTTTTATTAATGTATTGTATCACATTGATTGATTTGTGGATGTTGAACCAACCTTGCAGCCCAGGGATATATCCCACTTGGTCGTGGTGAATAATCCTTTTAATGTACAGTTGGATCCTACTGGCTAGTATTTTGGTGAGAATTTTTGCATACAGGTTCATCAGGATATTGGTCTGTAATTCTCCAGTTTGATGGGGTCTTTGGTTTTGGGATCAAGGTAATGCTGGCCTCATAAAATGAGTTTGGAAGTTTTCCTTCCATTTATATTTCTTGGAATAGTTTCAGAAG